AAGGATAAACAATTTGCTCCCTCAAATGCCATTTCAGAGTGTCTATCACAAAGTATCGACTCAGTAAACATTAGCTGTCATTATCCTACCCACCTCATGCAAAATACCAGAACGTAGCAAAGCATGCACAGACATAGTCATCAGTGGTAAGAAGAAACCCGGGTTTAAACCCTGGCCCCATACCCCCTGCTATGTCAACATGCACAGGAAGCATCTTTTCAGAGCCTCAGTCTCCTCCATAACGCTGGAATCATACTGACTACTTCATAGGTGTCTTTTGTGAGAATTAAGTGAAATGATACATAATAGAAACTTAGCACAATGTCTGATTCATCAAATAACAATAACGTTGTTTTTTCCTTTACCTCCCTAATCACAATTTGGTTCACAACCGATAGTAACAAACCCATACAAAGGGGCTAGACTGATGAGAAAGGAACACTCCACCCATACTCTGGTTAATTCCACAGACCTGATACATGTATGCCCCTTTTTCCTGGTATGCATCCTGGACTGAATGAGACCATTTAGAGAATGAATAGTTTATTATTTCAATTAAATCGGTCCTGCTAATTCAATGCAGTCTTGTTTATAATAGCCAAGATATGGAAACAACCTAAGTGTCCATCTACGGATGAATGGGTAAAGAAGATGCCACACAAACATGTACACACACACAACAGAATATTAGTCATAAAAAAAGAATGAAATCCTGCCATTTGTGAAAACACAGACAGACCATGAAGGTATTATGATTAGTGAAATAAGTCAGAGAAAGACAAATACTGTATGATTTTACTCATATGTGTCATCTGAGACAAACTGATGAACAAACAAAATAAAATAAAAACAAATTCGTAAATACAGAGAATAGATTAGTAGCTACCAAGAAGGGAACAGGGTTGAGGAGGTGAAATGGATGAAGGGGATCTGCTGTATGGTGATGGATGGTGACTAGACTTGTGGTGGTGCTCTCTCTGTAGTGTATGCAGATGTTGAACTAGAATGCTGTACACCTGAAAATTATATAATTAAAAATAAACAAACACATAAAAGAAGATTTTGAGAAAAAAAATTGGTCCTGCTAAGCCATCACAACACGTAGAGACACAGTTTGAGTCACAGAGATCATAGGGAAAGAAAGGGAGTGTGACAAAGGAACAGAAAGCAGGCATTGCACTGCCAGAAGAAAAAAAAAAAAAAAAAAAGTATGCACCACAGTTCCGTTCTTGACTATTTGTATGACAGTGGGCAAGTTAGTCTTTTTATCCTCGGTTTTCTCATCTGTTAAGAGAGTACACATATTATCTCATAAAGGTGTTAGGAAATGAACTGAATACATTTAGCACATCCCTGCCACATAGTAAGCACTCACTAGTAACTATTCATCACAGTAGCAAGGGCAAATTAGACTAAATGATGTTAATTGGACGATTTAGCATGTAACTGTTAAATAAAAAGATAACAGGTAATTCTGCACCGTCAGCAACCTTGAGTAGAAGGATCTCTGCTAAAATGACTACTAGGATTTTATTTTTATTTTATTTTATTATTTTTATTTATTTATTTATTTATTTGGAGCAGAGAAAGGTTTATTGCAAGGTGAAATGAGTACTAGGTTTTTAATTTGCAGTTAAGATATGAAATTTATGGTGGCTTTATTAGTTGGTAGTGTTAACAGCTCCAAAGATGATATTATCCCAAAATACAGATGAGGAAGCTGAGTCTCAGAGAATTCCAAGAGACCAGCTGTCTGACTGGAAAGTAGGAGTGACAGGATTTGAAATGCAGTCTGCTGTAGTTTCAAGATATGGCATCTTTTAAATAATTTACTCAATCGTATCCTGTATTACTGAGAGGCATACGGTACTGAAGAAAGTAGCACATGCTTAATTAATGTTCCTGGAAGGGAGATGGTAAGACCATGAAGTTTGCCTCTGTGTCACTGTCTGTTTGCCCTGATGGGCTTATGCAGACATAGATATAGATACAGATATGTTTATACACGTAGAAATAGGCTTAGTTTTAAGAATTTTAATATACATGATATTTTCAGCTTGACAATGTGCTCTCAAAAGAAGCTGAGTCTTAGAGGAAGTTGACCAACCAATTAATGACTGCATGTTTTAACATGGCAGATGCCACAATAAATGCCTATTTCTTGCTGGATGGCAAGGTAAACATTCCCCTAAAAGATGCGTACATTCTTGTTAGCATATAAAATACAACAGCCCTAAAGAGAAAATCATGCTTTGTTATTTGTTACTTGATAGTTCCCTGAATATCTGTGTCCTCTAGTTCTGTTTAAAAAGGTTAAATGGCTCTAAGTCTGTCTGCTAGACTTATAAGGAACTATGCACTGCTCTGGCTAGTCAGGAAATTTAATTTTCTACACAAATTAACCAATTGTGCATCGATAGAGGAAAGCTGCTCTCCATAACCCAGTTGGGGGACAGGGGTTGGGGGAGGGACAACTGCAAAAATGCAGAACTGATACTGAAAAATGCAGTTGGTGATTCTTACATTCTAGATTCATTCCTATGGAGCCAGTCCACCTCCAGTCAGAACGGTGTGGGGCTCACTTTCTGAATAATGCATCAAAACCCTGTTGTAAATGATTTGAAACAGTAATCGCCCCTTCTTTGGGTGAAACCATATATGCCAAGGAACTAGCACTTGCCTGACATCTATCAGAGCTAGAGTATGCCTGTGTCATCAAGTGGTACTTTATCTGTCCATCCCTTCCTGGTAACACAGCCCTAGACCCCCTTTAGCTTGCCTGGAAACAAAATGCTTCCAAGTTGGGCAGTTGTTGCTAAGCAGCCTCAAGCTTCTTCTTCACCTGCCTTTTATGCCACCAACAATTATAAAAAATAACAATAGCAATAACAACAACAATCAACGACAGTGATAATCATCACTGATTCCCTGTAAGCTGGAATGATTATCAGTATATCTCCATTTTTACATCAGTCAATGGATAGATTATAAAATGGGCAAAAACAAGTGGGGAGCTATGAACCTGGATGTTTACCCACTTCTAACCAATCTGAGGTTAGTATTGGCATCAAAAGTTACTCAAACTTCATCTCCAGCTGATGAAGAACATGCTTCTGCACAGGAAGTCTGTTCCCGCTGGTACTATAGATTCCATGTTTTGGGTGTACATGGGATTGCCCTGATATCTGAATCCCCATTTGCCCTGAGGGTCCTCAGCTTGGCATGCTCCTGGCCCCCTATGGGTTCTTTGCTGACAAGAGTAGAAATCTTGACAAGTCAAATGCTAAACTGACCCCATGGCTGGTCTCTCAGTTAGGCCAATCTTGTTTACTTTCTTCATATTCTCTCTTATGCTTGAAGATGTGAAGAAAGTGGCAATTGCTCTGTTCTGTGTTCTTTCAGAAGAAATGGAAAACGGGGCAGATTCATTCATTCAACAAGTACCACTGTCTCTATTTATATTAGAATTTCAGTATAAAGCCATTTCACAACTTCACTATTTAGTCAAAAAATGGATGCCCATGTAAATTTATTTTTCTGGATACTTCCTGCCCTTGGATTCAATACTTGTCCCTTTGATAGATATGATTTTCTTAGCCAAATAGAGGCCATTCTGTGTGTCCACAACTTGTTGAGTTCCTTTACAACAAAGAATGGGCCACTGACCATTCCTCAAATCCCCTTCTTAGAGGTTGAGCTCTTTTGAAGAAAGGATTTTTTTTTTTATATCCTTATGAGATACACTCTACTATCCTGAATTTAGAAATGACTTGTGTTAAAAACAACTTTTCCAGACCTGAAAATAATTCTTTTTTTGCCCAAACTCAAATTATTTGGGGCACTGATTATTCTGCTGGGTTTCACCTCCAGCCTCATAGTTTCAGCATCCTTGGGAGTATTGGGAGTTTAATACACAAAAAAGAAGTGAATAAGTAAAGCTTTCATAAAGCTCACTTGTCTAGAGTTTCCCTGAATAAAGTAATTAGAAAGATATCTGCCGTAGGTCCCTGTGACTTAGAAATTGAATGACTTGGATATAAGTTGACATCTAACTCATAAATTAACTGGACAATTCTTTAAAACTGTATTCTTCCGTCTAGTTTTCTCTCTCTTTTTCAACAAACATTTCTAATGCAATATTTGAAATCCACACTCAAACACATCATTAACTAACACTTCACCCTTGGAGACCAGTGGACAAGTTACAGATTTTCAGTGTTCTTTCAGAAGAAAGCTATTTAGCCCGAGCATCTACTGTCATTTGGGTGACTGGCAAAGAGAAAAGATGTACACAGTTCAACAACAAGAAAAACCCAGAACTGAGCCTTATTTCTAAAAAAAGGAAGAAAAACTTTAACAAGGGATTATATTTCTCAGCCTGGGAAAAATTTTGAGCAGGGAAAGTATAAACAAAAGATATCTTTGAAATGGCAGAGAAAGGTTTTGTCTAAAAGGCACCGATCCAAACATGCTGACCTATCAGAAATGCCCATAAAGTGATAAAAAGATCATTTCAAAGCCAAACAGCGAACACAGAAATAAGACAGGGGGCCTCTTAATGTGTTGAGACAGTGATCTCATGCCTCTAAATTCTTATACATAATTCACTGTAACTGTCAAAGGAGAAAGAAAGAAAGAAAAAAAAAAAAGCAATACTTTTCTAATGCTAGAAAGTAAAACCCCACAAACAAGCAAAAACAATATCATATAAAAGATCCACCCAAATGCACTGCAAAATATATTCGATTTGGCTTTTTCATTGAGCTCTCTGAAAGCTTAATAGCTTTCTTCATCTTGATATTCCTGGCTCTGGGCATTGTATGCAGCTCTTCGCAGGTGTGTGCAACACACACACACAAGCTCAGTACATGTTGACCAAAATTCCTTGGTCATGTGAACATAGTCTCAAAGGCAGCCACACAGACTGCATACGTAATTACATTTTGTACTGATCTGCTTGTCAGGCACTATAGCCAGTTTTCCTTTCAAAAGAGAAATACCTTATAGGACTGGAGGTGATGTCGGGGTCACGAGCGGTCACTTGCCCAATCACGGAGTTGAGAGCAGCATTTTCATGAACTTCGAGGAGGTAAGTTGGTGAAGAGAAGACTGGAGGCTCATCTGCATCTTCGACAACAATTTTAACTGTCGCCGTGTCTTTAAAGGGCCCCCTGCTGCTGAAACGCGGGTCAGTGTGGACATTGGCTGCCTCTACCTTCAGCGTATAGGATCTTTTGGTCTCAAAATCCAGAGGCTGTTAAGAAATGACAAAGATGAATGTTTCTCACTAATGACCACAGCAGCGAGAACAAATGAGTATAATGCTGATGGATGATCGTTATGTGCATTTAAGCCCATTTGTGAGCCTTAATGGGATCACTCTCCATTCCCCCAGATTCAACCTGTAAATTTTACAGGCATTTATTGATATCTGTTTATTATACAAGCTCAGTGAATCTAATCTCCTACTGTTTTGTTTTGTTTTGCTCATTTCACTTGGAATTCACAAAATATTCACAGTCATGAATTGTGCCATCAAAATTTCACTTCAGACTCATAATAAAATTTTACTAGTGAAGGCATGATCTGCATACCAATCAGCCAGTTAATCGGGCCTCTGCTCGTCAGAGATAAGGCAGCATCGAACATAATCTCTATCTGGGAAGAATATTTTATCATTTCTGCAACAGTGTGTGAAATGTAAAGAACTAGAAATAATCATTGTTCAGTCCATGGAGACATTATAAAGCACAATTTAGCACTAATCCCAACAAAGAGTGTTTTCTTATTTCACTTCCAGAGCATCACTGCTTTACTGATCATGTGGCTAAAATGAGGCTTATTATTTTTTAGGGCATTCTTAGAAGGTCTCTATTATATGAGTTCTGTGCTGTGAAGCAGGTGGGCATATAAAGAAATATGTATACAGACGCATATCTACCTGTGTTTATATTTAGGATAGATGATAGATAGATAGACAGATAGATAGATAGACAGACCGACAGACAGGTAGGTAACTAGGTCTGGTGGTGACTTCCACCAACCAGTTAAAAGCAATTTGAAATTACCTCACTGCACCATTACTTAAAATATTTCTGACCTATTAATACCTCTTTCCTTAAAAGCCCCAGAGACTTAACTTAATGACCTATGTAAATAGAGGCAGGTAAAAGAACACAGTCCCCTTAAACAACCAGAAGGCCATCTGCATCAGAACCCTCACAGTCCAATTCTCTCAGCAACACATAATACTTCAGATGTCAAGGATGTATTTCTGTCAAGGTTCAAAGAGACAATTTAGATTTCCATGGCAATTCTTATAAGAAATTGAACTTTACATCTGCGGTGCAAATTAAAAAAAAAAAAGCTGGAACACAAGCTAGCATTAGTGAACTCTTTCAGAACTCCTATACAAGCTTAAATATATATTCTTATTTCAAAATTTTATGTTGATTCTTATATTTGAATTTCATTCTAATTGGACTTCGATTTTTTGATATATTTTCTAATAAAAAAGGCAGATACTCAATCTCCTGTCTATTCTGAAATTACTAAACACATGTGCCCGTATGTACATGAATAGGCAATTCAACATCAACATTTTCACAATTTGCTAATCACCCCTACTCTAACAATTTTGTAATCTCAAATTCTTTACAAACGCTGTTAAGCATAAGAGATTATATTCTGCTTAATTCTTTGCCCAACTTAATGACAATCTACCGGAACACATCCTGGTGTCCTTGGGATTTTGTCAGACAAAAAAGAGGACCCATGAATTACAGGAAAATGACTCCCTACAGATTGTTCTCTAGAGTAAAATACATGGGATTTTTGGTGTCAAGATGTGTAGTATATGCTTCCAAGTTTATGAATAATGGTGAATAAAAATACAGCAAACAGCTAATTGCTTCAGTTTATAAAAGCATCTTATGGTAACAAAGAATAGCAGTTAATAATAACAACAAAAATGACATTAGGAATCATTAGCCAAGGAAAATGTGTCTCTGGGTTAGTCAATAATTGACTCAAGTATAATTATACTGTACTCTATTTAACACACGAGTTTTTAAATACTTTGCAACTCTTAATACTGAGCTCCATCCAGGTTTAAAGTGAGTGTTACTCAGCAAAGTTAAAACAGATGCAGCCATTTTCTTTTCAAAATTGATTTTTAAAACTGATTTTGTATATAAAACTATATCCAGAAAATTCCATGTTCTCACTTTCAATACCTCCCCAAAAGGGGATTTTAAGAGCATGACCATTGGAAGCACATCCCTGTGTAACATGACAGAGAGAGTCAGAGAGTAAGCTTGGAGTCATGTCATTGTAATGCTGATCAAGACAGAGGGCAAAATTATTGGCTCCTGACAGTGTGACCTATTATCTATCTTCTAATTCATGAATCAGCAAATCCGTTTTAAAATTAATTTGTACTACTTCATGGCAAGCATATAAAGAACAATGTTGAACAAAATACTCATGATGAAGATAAAAGGGTGTTTTTCTTTGCAAATGCCCATGTCTGTAAAATACTGAACTGTGTTCTACACGTTTTTTAATGAATGTAGTTGTCACAATGAGAAATAAATATGGAAAATGTACAGAATTTTTCACATTTACCACACGCACACAAATGATCATGAGCAAAAGCAGTCACAGACTGCAATATGGAGAGACATACCATGCTCCTGGATTGGAAGAATCAATATTGTGAAAATGACTATACGACCCAAAGCAATCTACAGGTTCAATGCAATCCCTAACAAATTACCAGACACTTTTCACAGAATTAGAGCAAAAAATTATACAATTTGTATGGAAACACAAAAGACCCTGAATAGCCAAAGCAATCTTGAGGTAAGAAAAAGGAGCTAGAGGAATCAGACTCCCAACTTCAGGCTATACTACAAAGCTACAGTAATCAAGACAGTATGGTATTGGCACCAAAACAGAAATATAGATCAATGGAACAGGATAGAAAGCCCAGAGGTAAACCCACGTACATATGGTTACCTTATCTTTGATAAAGGAGGCAAGAATATACAATGGAGAAAAGACAGCCTCTTCAATAAGTGCTGCTGGGAAAACTGGACAACTACATGTAAAAGAATGAAATTAGAACACTCCCTAACACCATACACAAAAATAAACTCAAAATGGATTAAAGACCTAAATGGAAGGCTAGACACTATAAAACTTTTAGAGGAAAACATAGGAAGAACACTCTTTGACATAAATCACAGCAAGATCCTTTTTGACCCACCTCCTAGAGAAATGGAAATAAGAATATAAACAAATGGGACCTAATGAAACTTCAAAGCTTTTGCACAGCAAAGGAAACCATAAACAAGACGAAAAGACAACCCTCAGAATGGGAGAAAACATTTGTAAACGAATCAACGGACAAAGTATTAATCTCCCAAATATATAAACAGCTCATGCAGCTCAGTATTAAAAAAACAAACAACCCAATCTAAAAATGGGCAGAAGCCCTAAACAGACATTTCTCCAAAGGAGACATACAGATGGCCAAGAGGCACATGAAAAGATGCTCAACATCACTAATTATCAGAGAAATGCAGATCAAAACTACAACGAGGTATCACCTCACACAAGTCAGAATGGCCATCATCAGAAAATCTACAAACAACAAATGATGGAGAGGGTGCAGAGAAAAGGGAAGCCTCTTGCACTATTGGTGGGAATGTAAATTGATTCAGCCTCTGTGGAGAACAGTATGGACGTTCCTTAAAAAACTGAAAATAGGGGTTTCCCTGGTGGCGCAGTGGTTGAGAGTCCGCCTGCCGATGCAGGGGACACGGGTTCGTGCCCCGGTCTGGGAGGATCCCACATGCCGCGGAGCGACTTGGCCTGTGAGCCATGGCCGCTGAGCCTGCGCGTTCGGAGCCTGTGCTCTGCAACGGGAGAGGCCACAGCAGTGAGAGGCCCGTGTACCACACACACACACAAAAAAAAAACAACAAAAAAAAACTGAAAACAGAACTACTATATGACCCAGGAATCCCACTACTGGGCATATACCATATTTTGGACATGTGTCCAAAAGACACATGTACCCCAATGTTCATTGCAGCACTATTTACAATAGCCAGGTCACGGAAACAACTTAAATGTCCATCAACATCTGAATGGATAAAGAAGATGTGGTACATATATGTAATGGAATATTATTCAGCCACAAAAAGAAATGAAATTGGATCATTCATAGAGATGTGGATGGACCTTGAGTCTGTCATACAGAGTGAAGTAAGTCAGAAAGAGAAAAACAAATATCGTACATTAACTCATATATGTGGAATCTAGAAAAATGGTACAGATGAACCCATTTGCAGGGCAGGAATAGAAAGGCAGACGTAGAGAACGGACGTGTGGACATGGAGGGGAAGGGAAGGGGAGGATGAATTGGGAGATTAGGTTTGACATAAATACATTACCATGTGTAAAACAGATAGCTAGTGGGAACCTGCTGTATAGCACAGGGAGCTGAGCTTGGTGCTATGTGATGGCCTAGTTGGGTGGGATGAAGGCGGGGAGGGAGGTCCAAGAGGCAGGGGATATGTGTATGCATACGGCTGATTCACTTCACTTTGTGGCAGAAACTAACACAGCATTGTAAAGCAATTATACTCCAATTTTTAAAAAGCCATATATTCTTTGTACTATTTATGGAGATGTTTCTTTCTCCAATGGTAGACCCACACCCAGGAAAAAAGCAAAGATGAGCTTCATTGACCACAATGCTTGGTCATTTGATCACAGTTAGGAGCATCTAATGATAGCAGGGTGGGCCCTGTCCTTCCAGGGCCAGAGCTAGCCAGAATAACTGAAGCTGACTTTGTCTCTTTGAGTTTCCCTAAAAGCAGAGCCTGCAGTGAAGACACAGGAAACTTGAATGCATTTTGCAGAGATATTCTAGGAAGCAGGAGATTAGAAATGCGGAGAGTTCTATAGAAAAGGATGAAAAGCCATTGAACTTGCCACCTCTATGGGCTTATGAGGATTATTCCCACTGAAAATCCTCTAAGGAATCATAAACAATATGCCTCACAATAATTTCTTCAGTGAATAGGAACTGTCCACCAATCTTTGTCCCTCATTGCTTAAAGGTTGCTTTCAGAGTGTTGGCTTTCCTACATAGGTGGATGCTCTGGACAAGAACTGAGCAAGTTCCTGCAGCTCATGGAAAAACACTGAAACACAGAGAGGAAAGAAATGATGGGTGAGATGGGAGGCTAGCACCACCATGGTCACTGTTCACCGAGGTTTAGCTGAAATATAAAGTAGGACTAGAAGACAGGATGTGCAAAAAGCACTCACTTTTGCACAGCTCAAGAAGGCAAACCTCCTCCAGTTGTAAGATTACATCAGGAAGTCCACCCAACCCCTACCACCTTCAACATTCAAGTTTCAAAGAGGTATTCTGAAGACGAACAAAACCTTCCTGAGCTTACCTTTCTCAGCCTTATAATGCCATCCTGGGCCTGGGCATCAGAAGTGATTTCAAACAGTGCTGTTCCATCTCCATCAATGATGTCATATGACGACTGTGCATTTTCACCAATATCCTGATCATTGGCCTTCACCCTCCCTATGGCAGTGCCAAGAACCACATCTTCTGGTACTGAGAAGTGATACAGACCTTAGGAAAGAGGAGAGACACTGAGCACTGCACATATTCCATTCTTCATTCATTCATCTAACAAACATGTATTGGGCACCTCTTTTGCTCTGGCTACTTCTGTATAGATACTACCAATACAGTGACGGGAAAGACAAAAGCCTCCTTTCCACTGTGGAATGTACAGTCTTAAATGAGCCAGAGACAAATGTTCCCAGAAGAAGCACTGATCTCTCTTCGAAACTCTTCTGAGTTATGGGACTTATTCAACCATATGTTTACCAAGTACATATTTGGAGCAGAGTTATATCAGGATATTAGTGAGTCTATGTGAATGTTCTTTCCAATTTGCTGTATAATCACATTGGCTGCCCTTGGGGATATTCATTGTTGCCCAACATAAAATATTAAGCTAATTTCAGCACAGATAGATGCAATGTGTAACACACTGAAAGTCACTTTTGAAGTTACCTTTATATTTACAGACTTATAGACCATTTTTGATAAAATCCAATTACCAAGCTTCTGCTGTGCCCTGCAGCAAGCTGTTCAGACACATGAAGCACTCCTCTTGTTACTAAAATTCTCCTTGCTCTGAAGACCAAAAATCCTACCCTCAAAACTCTCTAGGCAAAATACAGTTACAGTGTATGTGGCTTCCCCTATGGGGGCAGGAAAACGTGTCTAATTAGTGATATTAGTCCCATTTTTATTCAGATCACTTTGGCTGTTGTATTGGTGTCACTCACTTTCACTGGTGTAGGGGAAGTTGCCGGTACCCCAACCCCGTAACCCCTGGACACTACCACTTCAGTCACACCTGCCTTACAGCCAACGGCCAACTCTTGCATTTCTTTGCTGAGGGTTTCCTCTGGACTTCAGAACCCGTTTTGTCCATTTCCTGTCAGTCCAGAACTATCAGAAAATTAACACCCCCAGAGAAGCAGCCCTCAAAGGCTCACGCAACTTAGTATATAAAATTCCAGGCTCCTTGCCCTCTCTGGCAGGATAATCTTAAGCTGGTCCTTTTCTTTTGCTTATTTACAGTGCTCCAGAGTTTCCCCAGTGGAATGAAGCTCCAGTCACCCCAGTCATCGCTGGCTTGATAACGCACACTGTCAGCTTTCTACCTCCTCTCGCTCACAATTCTCACTTCCCTGCTGGCGTTTCTTGGGATCATCTCCAATATAAACTACTTATAATCAAATCCTTGTCTCAGCGCCTGTTTGCGGGGAACCCAAACCCAGACAACCAGGAAGTTGTAGTCCCATTGCAACAAGAACAAGGGAAAATAAACATTCGATGAACCATAAACCCAAAAGGAAAAACTATATCTGGAGAACATTACCTAATTCTAGTTTGAACTCAATCACTGAGTCCCTTGGATAAACTAAGGCTCATTTTTCCCAGTATAACAAGATTACTTTAGATGATGGGCGAGGTTTTCTTCTAGAACTAACACACTTTTATTTACTGATGAAGTTAAAGTGTCTCTTGAAATCATAATATTATGTGACCCGGGAACAAAAATGTTTTCCAAACAGTTTTGCTGTAAGAAAGGCACCAAAAATCATCGGTCTAGCACAAGTCTCCCAATACCCTCATAATTGGTGTAATGATTCCATTTCCTTCCAACTTTATATTTCAGATAAAGTTTTCAGATGATTCCTTGAGGTGTGCTTATTAAATAATAAGACAGCAAGGGGCTCACCTTGCTACTAAACCTGCATCAGGAAGCCTTGGGAAACCAAGCCAATGAAACATTTCTTTATCCACTTTTACTCTTCCTACTCTCATCATCCCTTTCAGTGGGATCGTAGTTAATCAATATTACCTCTAAGAAAGGGAACGCTTGAAACTTATCCGCCACCACTCAATTGAAACAATCATTTTGTGAGAAAGAGGAGTTGCATGTTAGTGCATTACCTATAATGGCAACTGAAAAGAAAACAAGAGTCAGGGGAAGGATGCAAGAGATGACGTTTTTTATTTCAGTCATTTGGTTTCAAAGGTTGGCATTGTTGTCTGATTTATGAATGGCCAGATGTGAAAATTCTAAAATTCTTTAAAAAAAAGAAAAATTTTTAACATCATTATTGGAGTATAATTGCTTTACAATGGTGTGTTAGTTTCTGCTTTATAACAAAGTGAATCAGCTATACATATACATATATCCCCATATCTCTTCCTTCTTGCGTCTCCCTCCCTCCATCCCCTCAAGGTGGTCACAAAGCACCAAGCTGATCTCCCTGTGCTATGCGGTTGCTTTCCACTAGCTATCTATTTTACACTTGGTAGCATATATATATCCATGCCACTCTCTCACTTTGTCCCAGCTTACCCTGCCCGCTCCCCGTGTCCTCAAGTCCATTCTCTAGTAGGTCTGCGTCTATTCCCGTCCACCCCGTAGGTTCTTCATGACCTTTTTTTTTTTTTTTTAGATTCCATATATATGTGTTAGCATACGGTATTTGTTTTTCTCTTTCTGACTTACTTCACTCTGTATGACAGACTCTAGGTCCATCCACCTCACTGCAAATAACTCAATTTTGTTTCTTTTTATGGCTGAGTAATATTCCATTATATACATGTGCCACATCTTTATCCATTCGTCTGTCGATGGACACTTAGGCTGCTTCCATGTCCTGGCTATTGTAAATAGAGCTGCAGTGAACACTGTGGTACATGACTCTTTTTGAATTATGGTTTTCTCAGGGTATATGCCCAGTAGTGGAATAGCTGAGTTGTATGTTAGTTCTATTTTTAGTTTTTTAAGGAACCTCCATACTGCGCTCCATAATGGCTGTATCAATTTATATTCCCACCAACAGTGCAAGACGGTTCCCTTTTCTCCACACCCTCTCCAGCATTCATTGTTTGTAGATATTTTGATGATGGCCAATCTGACTGGTGTCAGATGATACCTCATTGTAGTTTTGATTTGCATTTCTCTAATAATGATGTTGAGCATTCTTTCATGTGTTTCTTTTTTTTTTAACATCTTTATTGGAGTATAATTGCTTTACAATGGTATGTTAGTTTCTGCTTTACAACAAAATAAATCAGTTATATATATACATATGTTCCCATATCTCTGCCCGCTTGCGTCTCCCTTCCTCCCACCCTCCCTATCCCACCCCTCCAGGCGATCACAAAGCACCAAGCTGATCCCCCTGTGCTATGCGGCTGCTTCCCACTAGCTATCTACCTTACATTTGGTACTGTATATATGTCCATGCCTCTCTCTCGCTTTGTCACAGCTTTCCCTTCCCCCTCCCCATATCCTCAAGTCCATTCTCTAGTAGGTCTGTGTCTTTATTCCTGTCTTACCCCTAGGTTCTTCATGACATTTTTTTTTTCTTAAATTCCATATATATGTGTTAGCATACGGTATTTGTCTCTCTTTTTCTGACTTATTCACTCTGTATGACAGACTCTAGGTCTATCCACCTCATTACAAATAGCTCAATTTCGTTTCTTTTTATGGCTAATATTCCATTGTATATATGTGCCACATCTTCTTTATCCATTCATTCGATGATGGACACTTCGGTTGTTTCCATCTCTCCGGGCTATTGTAAATAGAGCTGCAATGAACATTTTGGTACATGACTCTTTTTGAATTATGGTTTTCTCAGGGTATATGCCCAGTAGTGGGATTGCTGGGTCATATGGTAGTTCTATTTGTAGTTTTTTCAGGAACCTCCATACTTTTCTCCACAGTGGCTGTATCAATTTACATTCCCACCAACAGTGCAAGAGGGTTCCCTTTCCTCCACACCCTCTCCAGCATTTACTGTTTCTAGATTTTTTGATGATGGCCTTTCTGACTGGTGTGAGATGATATCTCATTGTAGTTTTGATTTGCATTTCTCTAATGATTAGTGATGTTGAGCATTCTTTCATGTGTTTGTCAGCAGTCTGTATATCTTCTTTGGAGAAATGTCTATTTAGGTCTTCTGCCCATTTTTGGATAGTTGATTTTTGCAACTATGTTCATCAGTGATATTGCTCTGTAGTTTTCTTTCCTTGTGACATCTTTGACTGGTTTTGGTATCAGGGTGATGGTGGTCTCGTAGAATGAGTTTGGGAGTGTTCCTCCCTCTGCTACATTTTGGAAGAGTTTGAGAAGGATAGGTGTTAGCTCTTCTCTAAATGTTTGATAGAATTCGCCTGTGAAGCCATCTGGTCCTGGGCTTTTGTTTGTTGGAAGTTTTTAATCACAGTTTCAATTTCAGTGCTTGTGATTGGTCTGTTTATATTTTCTGTTTCTTTCTGGTTCAGTCTCAGAAGGCTGCGCTTTTCTAAGAATTTGTCCATTTCTTCCAGGTTGTCTAATTTATTGGCATATAATGCTTGTATTAATCTCTCATGATATTTTGTATTTCTGCAGTGTAAGTTGTTACTTCTCCTTTTTCACTTCTACTTCTACTGATTTGAGTCTTCTCCCTTTTTTTCTTGATGAGTCTGGCTAATGGTTTATCAATTTTGTTCATCTTCTCAAAGAACCAGCTTTTAGTTTTAGTGATCTTTGCTATGGTTTCCTTCATTTCTTTTTCATTTATTTCTGATCTGATCTTTATGATTGCTTTCCTTCTGCTAACTTTGTGGGGGTTTTTTTTGCTCTTCTTTCTCTAATTGCTTAGGTGTAAGATTAGGTTGTTTATTTGTGATGTTTCTTGTTTCTTAAGGTAGGATTGCGTTGCTATAAACGTCCCTCTTAGAACTGCTATTGCTGCATCCCATAGGTTTTGGGTCATCGTGTTTTCATTGTCATTTGTTTCTAGGTATTTTTTCATTTCCTCTTTGATTTCATCAGTTGTCTCTTGGTTATTTAGTAGTGTATTGTTTAGCCTCCATGTGTTGGTATTTTTACAGTTTTTTGTTTCCTGTAATTGATATCTAGTCTCATAGCGTTATGGTCGGAAAAGATATTTGATATGATTTCAATTTTCTTAATTTTACCAAGGCTTGATTTGTGACCCAAGATATGATCTATCATGGAGAATGTTCCATGAGCA